CTTTAAGTGAGAAACGTCGATACACACACACACACACACACACACACACACACACACACACACAAAGGCTGATGATTATGGTGTGAGCTTTGAACATGCAGGTGCTGCTGAGCGGTTTTGGCCGCTTCTCTGCTTTTCAATTTCTCTTCTCCCAGATATCTCAGGACAGTTTGGAATTAGGCCCCTTGGACCTTTTTAGCAAACCGATTTTATGCTACCCTTTTTTGCCAATATCATTTCTCAACTTTTCTGGCAGCAATATTGATGTAAAAGCCACTTGATGGATTACTCCTGTTACTTTATGTAACTTTAGAAGGTAGTTTATGGCTTACACAGACAAGGAAGATGAAAGCTAAGGCTTGTCATAAATGGGTTATATATTTGAGTACATTTATCTTTTTATGCTTTGCGCTAAGCTGAGTAAACTAAAAGCACTATCAGAAAGGGTTAGGGCTGAGAGTAGAGCTATATATGTTGAGGCTCGAAGGTCATATGAATTTAAAGCCCTGTTTACACCTTCTGCAACAATATATACCGATATGCATGGAGACATTTCTGCATGCTGAATGCACGCAATGATTTAATTTCAAAACAGGATCTAAATTTTAATCTTAAATTTAGTCCCACTGAATGATACAGCCCACTATTAAATTATGCATCATTATAGCATTTGCTCCAATTTTCACCATATATGAGTAAATGATAATGCAAATTTTTTTTTTTATTTAAACATCAGCACTGCTTGCAGCACCTTTAAAAAAAAGGTGGTAAAAATAATCCAGAAGAAGTCGATCTTGGGAACATTTTATGTATCATTCAGTGGGACGAGCTGCACAGCCTAAATTTATTTCTACCCCTAAAAGACTCAGATTGGAGGTCATCTTTAGTTATTTTCTGATTTGAAACAATAGCAATGTTTTTTTATGGTCTACTGTAGATAGTCCTGACCTGAACCTGCTCAAATCTGATTTAAAGATTAGTTTTATGGCAAGGAGGTTTTCCAATTTCAAAGACTTGGGGTTGGAAATTGTTGGTAATATTTGTTTAAATTGTTAATTTAAATTAAGGGGTTTATTTTTATTCGGGCAAACATTTGAGCTTGTCCACTTCAGGTATTGGTGTAGTCACACCATTTCTTTCAGTGATTGTACTTTTTGATCTCTGTGATAATCGCAGAAATAGATAAAACCAAAATGTTCACAGCTGCTGCACTTAATTGGCATTTTTCATCAGATTAAATCTACTCCAGGAATCAGGAAGTAAAGAGCATGTGCTTTGTTGAATTATCTCCAAGAGCCCTAAAAGGATTGTCAGTAGGTCTGAATACTCTGGAAAAATAATTAATGTATGCAGTAAAACGGTTAACCCTTTATAGTGCAAGTTACCATTTTTGATCACTTGCATACCACTTACAAATGGAGTGTTATTTCATTTACTCTCAGAGTGTTTTTAATGAATTTCTTATAGAAGCACCTTTGTTATTTTTCTTAATATATACGGGCAAGTTGGCGTTTCTTGTAATTACATCGACATTCATTTATGCCATCAAAATATACATATTTTGTGAATGTTATAAAGGTAATAAGGTCTTGTCCTGGATTCCAATGACACACTAAAAAAAAATATCTTTAAAGTTGTGAAAATGTCTTAAAATAAGTGTATTTACCCTTACTTTGAGTTGGTAAATAAGTAAATCTCCCAGCTTAAGGAGCATTTTTATCCTCAAAATCAGATTATTTGATATTATGCTCTTGAAATAGGAGACTGCATTTTTTTCCTTATTTTGAATGTAAAATGTCTTATTCCATTTGCAAAGTATCTTACTTACCTGCTTAGTTCAAGAAAAAAATGCACTTATTTTAAGAAAACCTGACTGACTTAGATTTCAGTTTTTTGCAGTGCTTGAAATGTAGATGTTTAAAGTGAATGCCCTATAAAGGGTTAAGACAGACGCAAAATGGATAAAGATATGCTTTGTGCAGAGAGGCTTACTATAGTCACGGGCAAACCTAGTGAAGGTAAGAACTACCTAGCCTGCAGTTTAGTGTCTTTGTTATGCCCCCTAGTGTTTTTTTTTTTTTTAACAGTATGCTTACACATTCCTTTGGTTTTTCCTCATGTTTTGATTCCATTGATGTTATTGAGGTTTACTTTTTCAGCATTTGTGCCTGTGTTGATGTCTGGGGCCCGTAAGAGGTCCTGATCAAGTAAAGCTGCTGTTATCTGATAGCTCTGTGACAGAGCCACAATGGCTTCCAGGCGTCTTGAACAGGGATTAAACTATTTCTCCATCTTGCAAAGCCTGCATCTCCCACAAGGAAAGACTTTCTGCTCTTCCCGCTCTTTACTAGCCATTACAGTCTTGTTCATTTTCCTGATGATGATTTAAACCCCGCTTCCCGACACCCAGTAATCCCTTTGTGACGAGGCCCTCCTGCTTCCCGCTGTGCAGACATCAAATATGTCATCCAGTATTTGATTCATAGCTTTTCACCAAATTCCTCAACCGATTTTGACATTATATCGACTCCAGGGTATTTAGGACAGCATTGTGTTGCACAGAATCCTGATGTAAAGTTCAAATTTCTTGACAGAGGTACATTTGTGTTATTATTTGATAGATCATTGCAAAATAATTTTACTATCCACACAGTTTTTCACATTGTTATGAAACATAAGGAGCCTTTAATGTATCTTGTGAGGAATTTATTATATAGATCAGTATGAAATGGTTTAAATGATGCTGTGTAGACCTTTTCTGATAAGTGTGGCAGGCATTTGTATCCTGTCCTCTTATATCAGTACTTTGTAAAACCGCTTTTCACTACAGTTGTCTTTTGGGCATTTACCTGCTTAGCACAGCAGTAACTGTGCACATTTGAAACTAAAACTCAGTTATTCTCAACATAAATACCGGTACACATATATGTGGAGGCTTCATGCATATTTTAGTCCATCTTCAGAGACCTCATGAGCACATATCCAAACACAGCAAACCTTCACAAAAACCTGTTAGCTTGGTAATAGTCTTAGAACCTTATCATGTTTTAAACATCCCCACAACCTTCTGTTTTTCATTGTGTCTTCAATGTTTGTTCACTAATGCTCTCTGGCAAACCTGTGATTTCTTCACCAACTAATGGTGCTCATACAGACCAGTAGACTGTTAATTGCAGGGGAATTTCTGAAGGCAATGACTTTGGCTGGATTTATATCTGAGTATGTGTGGCTTAATGGTGGAAAACATCCTTCGGTTTTAATCTTTTTTGTTGGTTTGAACAAAAGCTTATTTCATTTTGTAAGCTTGTTTATGTTTTAAAGACTTACAGGCCAGACTTAAATGTTTGCCTGGGTCAAAAACTTTCCCTCCAAAAATGGTGAGAATCCTGAACATGAGGATGACCCAGGGATGTGGATTCAAAGTTGTTTAAAGTTCAAAGTTTAAAGTTTTCTATCTAAGGAGAACCAGCTGATTGCATTGACTCAGTGACTTGAAGGCAGTCCCTTACACCAAGCATGGTTGTAGAGACAGCGAAGAGGAAAAACTCTCTTTTAACAGGAAGTGAAATAACCAATATTTATTACTTTATTATCTGAGATCAATTGAATCCCATCCAAATGAAGTGACTGACTAATAAGCTCTTTTTCAAAGATTCTGGTCCAAAGACTATAACGTCTGTTTTGTCTGAGGACAGGAGCAGAAAGTTAAGAGTGATCCAGGTTTTTATGTCTTCAAGACATGCCTGTAGTCTATATAATGGATTAATTTTGATATATAGACATAAATAGTTGTGTATCATCAGCATTACAGCGGAAATTAATCCCATGCTGTCTAATAATTCTACAGATATATATATAGTAAATAGAATTGGTCCTAGCACTTGTCCCTGTGGTACTCCACTGGTAACCCTGGATTCTGAGGAAGATTTATTATTATCGTAAACAAATTGAAATCAGTCTGATAAATAAGATTTAAACCAGCCTATTGCTGTGTTTTTGATTCCTGCAAAACATTCAAATCTTTCTAAAGTTATATTATGATCAGCTGTATTAATTGCAGCACTGAGATCTAACAGGACAAGTACAGATACAAGTCCATTTTCTGAGGCCATGAGAATATCATTAGTGACTTTCACCAGAGCTGTTTCAGTGCTATGATGAGCTCTAAAACCAGATTGAAACTCAGAGGATCCTCTTACTCATGAAGCTTAACATGGCCTCTTTCTTCCCCAGAGTGCTTGTCAACTTTTAGGGAGCAATAACTGAGACCATCCCATGTCTAATTGAAGCAGTGTGGTTTGAGAGTTTAAGTAATGACCACAGCCCTGAGGATTGTGGAATATCCTCTCCGTGATATTGATTCCATTTACGTCGGACAGGTTGAGAACAGAGTCAGGCATATCACTGCCTACCTTCATACAGACTCTTTGTACTGCTGCCTTCAGGAGAGCTGTACAACAAAACACGGACTAACAGCTTTAAAGACATCTTCTTCCCTAGAGCTGTCTAGGCCATCACTTCTCTTTAGACTCTGTTTTGCACTATTTGCCACACTTAATTACTCCAATTCCAACCTCACTGATACATTTTTGATGCCACTGTTAATGTCCTCGTCAAAGCTGTGATGCCCCAAACTAAATTCTGTTATCCTCCTGTGTTTGCATAATGACCGTGGACTATTTTGCCTCCAAGTGCCTAAGCAAAACCATAATGATAATAATGGTGATAATTGAAAAACAAGTTTGAAAATGTGAAAGTGTTTTGCAGCTGTACAATTTTGTGGACTACAGGGGTGCAAAATAACTTTTAAAGATTTTAAACTCTAATTTAAGAAGCAAAACCAGAAAGAACTGGAGGCCTGTTAAGAATAATAGCCCCGTTCTGAGCTATTTAGTCTAAATTAGCTTCAGTGAAGTCATTATGAATATCATAAACAAAAAACATCAGTCATGAACATGCAGATGATGTATTGTTTGTAAAATATTATTGTGTTTTTGCAGACAAATTAAGGACCAGTCGAAGAAGGTGGCTAACATGAAACACAAGGAGCAAGTGGAAAAGAACAGAAACGCCCAGCTGATGGAGGAGGCCAAGAAGAGGGAAGACAATCTCAACGAAAGTTCTCAGCAGATAAAGGTAAAGGACGAAAGCCTGTAGAAAGCTGGAGAAAAGTTTCTGTCCATGTCCTCTGAGTAACTTCTGCTACAACAACACCATGTTGTCATAACGTGATCCAGAGCAGCCTGAGGCAATGTCAAACACACTCACTCTCACATGCTGCAGCTCTCAGCTGAGAAGATGTGAGAGGAGTAGGCCAAGGTGGATAATTGGCAGGGGGAGCCCATGGAAGATGGAGAAGAGGGGAGTGATGAGTAGAAAAATGAGAGAGGTGATTAAAGGAGAAGGAAAAAATGAATGCTTTTGGGTTTTAAAAAGCTTCTCTGTGGTTGAGGAGCACTCCTAATTGTTTGCTGGGTGCATCAAGTCACCCGAGATAAGACTCCCATGTGGTGTGATGATTCTGTGTGGTTTTCTCCATATAGCTGCAGATAATAGGTTCTCTTTTGCTTCTTTTTCATTTAACTTTACCCTTTCACCTTAAATTTCTTCCTGGCCTCCCCTGAAATCCTTCAGCCTGTTTTTTTCTTCCTCCTCATCCTCGTTCTTCTCTTCCAGTAATTGCTAACCTCAATGGCTCGCTGATTATAGACAGATGAAAACTGTCATTCTGTGTGTGTGTGTGTGTTTTGTGTGAACAAGCTTATGCACCCTTTAGCTATGGTTGATTTGGTTTAAGTAGTTAGGAAGCTGTCATTTGCAGTGTGTGTATGCGGCTGGAGGATGAGTCGATGTGAGTCACTGAGACACATGAGACCGCAGCGGTTACAACCAGAACTTGTGTGTGTGTGTGTGTGTGTCGGTTCCGGGCCAGCATGCATAACCTAAACAACCCTGCAGACGCTAACAGGACAGGACTGTAAATTTAATTCGATACAAAAAGAGCCGGCTTTGTTCCAAATGAATTCCACTGTGCTCTGCATAGTTAGACACCAAGTAATGTTGTCTCATCGGGGATTCGGATTCTCAGCACATGTGTTGGAGATGTTCTGGAGATTTGCTCACGGCCACTGTAATGCCTCATCGTCCCGCTTCCTTCCTGTCCCCATCAGTTATTCATTCAGACCTAATTTACCCTGCAAAGAAGAAGAAAAATTGACCTTTATTAATTGGGAATTTGTGGGAACGCCATGCAGTGACTATCCTCTATGTGTGACTAGAATCCTCCAAGGCTAATGAGAGATCAGTATGGATAGTCTATGAGCGTTTTGATTATTTTAGTTCTAGGGAGAAAAAAAAATGATTAAAGATGATTTTACCTTTGCCTGTTTTAGCTAAGCTTTTTGTTCACTTGTTACCAGAATGATCCATCGGGTGCCTGTCTTTGTAGCGCACCAATCCATCACATGGCAACACAGGATAAACTGATGCAAAAACACGCACTTATACCAAAGGACACCGTAAGGTGTTTTTCTATAAACCATCAAATTGCGCAAATTATAATAACGAAATAATTTTGCTTTACGTTACCATTCCACTTTAATAAAAAAAAAACAAAAAAACGCTACAATGAGGTTTTTCAATTGAATCAAAACTCTTAGTTTGAAGATGGTGGCAACCATTAGAGCTGGGCTGAGATTTGGATGCATTATTTGTTTACATCCCCCACTTTGAAATATAGTGGGACAAATGTATTCACGTACAATTTTAACTGTATTTTTTATTTAATGGAAATTCCACGATTGTGATTTAGCAGAATATCGACCCCGAGAAAACTTTTTTGCAGAAAGTCCCCAACCATAATTTAAAGTAAGGACTTGCTTGCTTCAAAGAAGCAGTGGTAACATGCAGTACTGTCAAAATTATGAAATTTTAAGGGATTTTTACATTTTTATGCTTAAAATACATCCTTTGTATTTAGTGGATTTTTTTTTTTATTTGGGTAAAATGTTTTAGATTTTTCCTCCCAAGATTGTCATCGTAGTTTTCTGGAAATTTGACCCATTCCTCCCGAGAGAGCAGATGTAACAGAGTCAGGTTTGTGGGCCATACTTCTTCCTCAGAGTCCTCTATTATTTAATAGAGGACTCTGTTATTTACCAAAAACAAAAAATAACCATCTGGTGACTTATAAGTGATTCTTACAATACCTTGGTTTGGGTCTGTGTAGAAGAAAATTCGGTCTCTCCAGCTCTCTTTTCTATTTCTTTTTTGCAGTCGTCTCAGGTAAACAGAGCAACATGATGCTCTGTAGAAAAAAATGCTACATTATTATATTATTCAGGCCCTTTAGTTTGCTGAAGAGGACTTAAAGCTTTCCAGGTGTGAAATTGACCCTTCATTTTGACTTTAATTAGCATTTTGTCTTGCTACCAAATGGTAAAAACTTAACTCCTCCGATAGAGCATTTAATACCCATGATGTTTAAATAATTTTCTATAATGTACGCTATGTAAGTATTTGTGGTTCAAACTATTAAAATGTGCCAGCAGGAGGTCATTTAGAGTTACTTGGGTTTGATTAGGGGTTCAAATCTTTCACATGTCAAGAGACATCGAGTCCAAAACAAACAGATAAGGAATTTGATGCAATAATATAGAAAAAAATATTTTTAATTTCATGTTTCGAATAGTTTTTTCCTTTAATTAGATACAAAGAGAAGTTCCTCTATTAACCTGTTGTTTTTTATCCATACCATGTCACAGGTGTTTTGTTTTAAGACTTGCGGAAATTATACCTGCTTGTTAAAGCTAACCGTTCTTTTATCTGGAACTCTCTCTGTTCTACAAGTTGTGCTCTTTACCCCCGCAGATGCTTCACACCCTCATAAAGCTGCATCACACAGTGAAAGGAGAGGAAAAATCCACACACCATAATGTGTTCTGTTTTACAACCAATTCCCTTCCACCTGAGGTACACTTTGGCCCTGTGCACATCTGGAATTAACGTGCATCCTGGGCGAGTCGATCAAAGTGAGCCCAAAATCTCTTAATTGCCCATGTGATCGTACCCAGGACACATTTTGGATTCTTTGAGTTCCAGTCATTTAGAGCATTTTCACAGGTGGTCCTTAATGCAGTGAAGGACCACCAACTCAACTGACCGCCTCCCTCTGGTTAAAAAACTTATTTGGCACCAGGGTGGAGTATCCTCCTCTACTATTGAGCATTTATTTACATAATGTGTCAGAGGAAATAACACTTTTAAAAGGTAATAGTTTTTCTGTTTGGTTAATCTTTGCTGCAGTCAGGATTGAGATGCTTCCGGGTGATAATTGCTTGTACAGAGCTTTCTTTAAGGTTTCCAGGTTTAGAATGCTGTTGAATTACACCCTGAGTTTCCGTCATTCTTCAACACTTGCCTTTTTCCCTGTTTGACCTCCATACTGAAATCTGTGTGAGTGAACAGTAGGGCCAATACACGCACACCTGCACAGGCTGCATGTGGCTGACCTTGTAAACCTCCATTTACTTTAGTAGAATTTTATATGTGGATTAATCATAAGGAGATTAAATAATGATAAACTTGTGCTAATATGATTTTCTTGCTTATTGTTCATGAAGCAGATGCCTACATTTGGCATTAGAGGGGAAATATGGGCAATAGATGTTATCAAGGTTTATGCTGAAAATTTGAGCATACAGCAGCTTAGTCATATGAATTGTATTTCTTTTTTTCTTCCATAATGGCCTCCAGTAGGTTCCTTAAGCCTTTAGAAGATGAAAAGGCCCACAGCATCTCAGATCTGCACCTAATGGGAAACAGGAGTTTTATTTCCACACATTTATAAGCTCGGTTTTACTGCAATGTTAGTCTGCATTTGACGGAGTTCTAAAGTTCAAGTTAAGTTCAGAAATGTAAGTGTTTATGTTTTTGATTGACAAGCAAAACGCTCTTTCAAAGCTCTAGACCAGGGGTCTTCAATGTTTTCCAGGCCAAGGACCCCCAAACTGATGTCCAGATTGAGCGGGGACCCCCTTATTATATATATATATATATTGTATGAATTGTATGATTCTGATTCCTGGTTGATGGGACAGGTGTTGTGAATGAAACGGTGCCCAGATTAAAAGAGCTCCTGTGTGTCGCTGAATTTGTGCATTGATGCCTGAAAGACATCTTCTGCCTCCATATATCTGTTTACTACAGTGTGTTGAATTCACAATAATGTGGATTTAAAGACATTTCAGTTAGTGGAAAAAAGGGTAGGGGGAATATTTAAAAAAAGTCTTTCGCGACCCCCATGCAGTACCTCCGTGGACCTGCTAGGGCTCACGGACCCCCCTATTGAGGACCTCTGCTCTAGACAAAGATTATAAGATGCTCGCCGGTTTTTGGTCCCTTTTTAAAACTGCAGACTCGCAAAGTATTTTACCTCCCATCCTTCCCACGCTGCATGTTAGCAGAACAAACTTAGATCTGTGTTAAGACCCATTTTTACAAGCTGTTTCACCTAATCATTACATCTCTGACTGCAGACAGGAGCAGGTTTAGATGTTTTCTAGAGTTTTGATTATTAGTAGACGTCTGTCTTGGATTTCTGTTCTTTAGTGTCTCTGCTTTAAAATGGTGGCTAAGAGAAATGGGTACATTTAGAGTCACATAAGGAGCCCATATTTTTGATACCAACATTTAGATCATGAACTGCCTGTGTCACCTGGAGATCAGATTTTTCACGTTTCTTGCCAGCTTGTTACCAGTCAGGGTCAGTCAAGCTGAAAATCATCTTTTTTTCTATTAGCAACTCTCATGTTTAAACAGTTGGATAGATGAACGTGGTGAGAAAACAGGTTTTGATCAGATCTCTATCTTCCCATCCCTGTTCTCTGCAGGATTCTCTGCGACAGAAGGAGGAGCGCATTGAGGAGCTGGAGGAGGCACTGAGGGAAAGTGTTCAGATCACAGCAGAGCGGGAGGTGGTGTTGGCCCAGGAGGAGCACGCACGCTCACATGCTGAGAAGCAGGTAAAGTGTGTGCGGTGGACTCCCGCTGTGATGCACGAGTTGGTTTCCCCGGAATGGTAAATCTGTGAACCAAGCTCTATCCTAAACTTTTCCTAAAACTCAGTCCATGTTTTTTATCAGACTGTGCTAAGTTCACCTAAAACAGACTAGTTGAAGCAAAAAATTCTCTAACATCTACAAAATCCTCCCCACTAAAAACGGGAGCAGCAACCAGCACGCCCACTCCCGGCGGAGCCCCTTCAGGTGCGGCTCTGTGTTTGCCCAGTCACTCTTCATTTAGAGCAGAAGTAAACACATTCCTATTTTAAGAACAGCTACATTTTGTCCCTCTATACAGTCAACACACAACCAGCCATGATTTTAAATGGACTGTGCACCAACCGCTTTAAGTCGTATTGCAGTTCATCTAAATGGAGACAGTGGGAGAGCTCACGGCGGTGGTAAATGGAGGCTCAGAAGGGAACGGTTCGGCGGATGCAACCTCAGACCGCGAGGAGTGTGTTTGTGTGTTTCGCTCCCCGGAGCGGCGGTGACTTAACGAGGCCATAGAGATGGGAAACGTTCCCCACTGCCACGATGGGTTTTGACAAGTGGAGGGGGCTGGAAAGCAGTGTGGGCTGAGGACTAAAGCTGCACTGAGAAAACACGGCCTGCTGTAGATGTTGGCAAAACGGCTGGACTCTTGTTATTACTGCCTCTAAACGTCTGCTCCGGCCTTTACTTACTGGACGGCTTCTGAAGAGACGTGTAAAGGCAGGCATGAAAACAGATGTTTTACTCCTGAGGTATGCTTCCTCACGCCCTCCTCCGAGGAGGGTGCTAACGAGCCGCACGGCAGAAGACGCTTCGCACAGACAGACGGTGTAGAGGAAGGACAGATAATTAAAGGCCCGACGGACAGAGTAAGGCAGTCACACGGACGTGTGAAGGTGAAATACAGCTTACAAAACATTTTCGTCTGCTGGAAGAAGAAAAAAAGATCAAACATGCCGTTTCAAATTCCAGTCAAGTTTCAGAGACATCAAACACAAGAAAATCAGTTTAAAGTGATGCAGCTGACAGGTTAGATTGCCCTTATGATGTAATGATGCAACGAAAAAGAAACTGTTTTGATGAGCACATTTGACAGGAACAATAACACAGAATGTACATAGATTTAATATTGCAGGGGGGAAATTAGAAGGATTCAAATGGTATGTTTTATAACTGAGGATGTATCCTTTAAATACCATCCTCAGCTAAATTGCCTGGAAAAACTCTTAACGGCTCTCCTCTGTTTTTGATTTTGCATGTTGATGTTTTGCATCAACAAAGAAATGGTCAAATTAGGGCCTTTCTGCCATTTACCCAAAAATATTTTAGCTATGCAGAGAAATCTCTGGAAAAAAGGCGAGTAAAGAAAGGCAGGTTTATTTATTTAACACAGTTGAGAACAAAGACAATTCAAAGTGCTTTACACAAATTAAACAATAGAATATAAGGAAGATATAAGTAGGTAAAGATAAAAGCAGATAGTAAACAAAGTAGAATAGTTGGACCAAAAACCTGGGGAGTGGTGGCCTATTGGTTAGGGCATAGAGCTTGGAATCCTGAGGTTCTGAGTTTAAGCCCCACTCCCACAGACTGCCACTCTGGGTCCCTGAGCAAAGACCCTTAACCCCTAATGCTTGCCTGGCGTCCCACGATGGCAGCCCACTGCTCCCCAAGGGGATGGGTTAAATGCAGAGCTAAATTTCTCCAATGTGAAATCAATAAAGTTCATTTATAATTATTATCAATCTAGAGCAGGGGTGGGCAACTCCAGTCCTGGAGGGCCTGTATCCTGCAACTTTTAGATATGTCCTTGACTTAACACACCTGAATCAAGTAAATAGATAATTAAAAAGACTCTGGAGAAATTGATTGCATACTGGGGAGGTAATTCAACCATTTGATTCAGGTATGATGGACCAAGGATGAATCTAAGGCTACGTTCAAATGCTACCTGAAGAGACCCAAATCCGATTTTTTTTTTTTTTGCCCACATGCAACCTGGATCTGATCTTCTCATGGCAGTCTGAACAACACAACCGTTTTTTTCCAATGCAACCAAGGCCACTTGGCTATGTGGTCCTGGATCCGATACGAATCTGGTCTTTTCAGATGCGACCTGTGTCTGAACGGCTAGGTCACATTCATCCGACCTGAACACCATTTATACCCGACAAAGGTCACTATTCTGCTTCTTGCTACACAGGACCGCCATGGCGGACGATGATGCGGAAAGCAGCATTTTTTTAACCATCTTGAAAAGATTGAGGTTTTAACGTTTGGAAAGATCACTAGATGCCCTCCGGCACTACATCCATGTTTACTTCTGTAAACATGAAGCACACTGACTTTTGACGTCATTGCGTCCTCTACGGTACATGTGGGACACTTAAGCTGAATGAATGCAGTTTACACAGGAGATTACATATATGTTGCATATATTTGGAAATGTAAACGGCAACGCAAAAAAGTAGTATTTCACAAAGAAATCGGAATTGAGCATCAAGACCTGCAGTGTAAATGTAGCCTAAATGTTTCAGGAAACCGGCCCTCAAGGACTGGAGTTGCCCACCCCTGATCTAGACTGATTAGAGAAACATGAAACTTTGTTTCATGCAGCAAACTAATTCAGGATTTAATAGGTTGTGTAATTTTAGGGGGGGCGTCCTGCCGTCAGTTTGTGACCTTAACCTGAAGCAGACTGATTGTGCAGCCCTGAAAGGATCTAGTTTACATGTCATCTTGGACTCTTTGTTGTCATCTACTTGAATAAGTGAAGAATTTGAACAGGTTGTTTAAAAACAACTGGTTTCTAAAATAAAAACAAAAGGTTTTATTTATTTTTTTCCACTGACAGTAACTGTTTATAACTTTATATAGGTTGGGAAACATTGAAAGGAATCAAAATGCTGCAAGTGCAACTTTAATTAGGGAGAGCGGAGGCCATTAAGGGCGGAGAGGGGCCCGGTCTCAAAACGCTCCAAAGAGGAAAGGACAGGGATGTCAGTTTGTGGTGAATGAGTGGAGATGTCAGCCAAACACCCATCGCAGTCCTCTCCCAACATCAACAACTCTAACTCAACCTTTCAGCAAGCGTACACATGTGTGTTATGTGGCGCTAGCAGGCAGGACAGAGGACACATTTTTTTCAAACACAAACAGACAAATATGGCGGAATGAAGGGCAATCCGATGTTTAAACCGAGCTCTGACCATTTAAAATCGCACATTTAGCAGAAACCAAATGGAAACCAGCTTTGGATTTCGACCTGGAAATGCGTCTTTGTGGGCGCAAGTAAATCATAAATAAATATTTTTGAGTTTCTTTTCATGCAGCTGCGTCAGGGCAATTAACCTTTAACATAATTATTTATAAAAAGATGACGGGAGAAGAAGATTTCCTCCCGTAATGAGGCCGGCCGGTTCAAAGGCTCCCACATGCAAATGCTGCCAAACTAGACCCACTTATAAACACTCTGACTCAATACTGGTACGCAGACGGCTTTTATATTCAACCATACTGTCAACAAGTGTGTGTGTGTGGGGCGGGAGGGGGGGCTGCCTTATGAATCTGATTTGCCTGTCAAAACCTTTTTTACCAGAACCACATGAAAACAAACCAAACCTTTGCAGCTAGACATGAGTCACTACTGTATGTGTGATCTGCACAGAAAGGTGCGCATGTGTGTGACGCAGCAGTGAGCCGGCAGCGGGACGCACTCCATCTGTCTCAAACTGGAGACAGACGTGCCCCTCCTTTGCATCCCGGTTTCTATTAAGGGAGAATTTTAATTCTTGAACTCGCTGCTCTTTCTCTTGTGGTTCATCTTGTTTTGATCTTTAAATAAACCTGAAATCCTTCCTAAACAGAAACCTCCAAATGGAGCCTGCTGTTTCCATAATGTTCAGTCTGCAGGTTCACAGAGCTGCATCCCTCCATCCATACAATACGATCATAGTAAACCTCAGTATTTCTGTTTAACTAAAAATATATATTTGATTTTGGGGCAGTTTGAAACCCTAACATCAGAAATATTTCCAAACGAAGCGTCTTCTTTCCAGTTCCTCACTTCCCCTGCTTGGCCCTGTCCTCCACCCCTCTCTCACTGTGAGACATGCTTATTGTTCGGTGTCACCTTTTCCATCCTTTTTTTTCTAAATTACTTGATTAAGTGCTGCTTATATTTCTCACTGCTTTGTATTTTGCAGTCTACTGTGTAATCGGTATTTATCCCTCATCATCTCTTATATCTCGTCTTCTCCGGTCTTAAACAGCCTCCCTGTCCTTATATATTTTTCCTTCATACCTTTTGATTTCTCTTTACTTTACTCTGCATCCTGAGGCCCCTTTTTTAATTACTCTCCCCTTCCTTAAACTCGTCTCCCCTCACTGCAATCACTCCTTCTTCTCACGTCTCTCTTTTTTCTGTCATTTGTATGCAGCTGTCTCACATTCCAATTCATGAGTTCACCACAAGCGGATTTAGATGGTCGAAGGTAACCAAGAATCCTCAAATACCATTTATTTATATTTCCCCTGTTATCGGATGGTAATTCAGTTTTTTTTTTATTCCATTCTTTCATTTATCTATCTGCCAAAGTTGTTTTTAATGAACAGCCGGATGGGGAATTCACCTCGGATCATCTTTCTTTTTTTTCCCCTTCCACTGGTTGTCTCGTCGGCTCAAACGATTTTAGTTTGAGAACTTTGCATCAATCAGACTATGAAAAAAATATCCCTTTGTTTTTGGTCTTGTTTTTTTTTTTCTAATTTCTGTTTCACATTTCTCTGACGTCTTACATCAGACCCCTCTGTTTTGTATTATTGTATAACAGTATTTATAAGCTATCTGTGGACAAAATGTGGGTCGCTCTCCTCTCTGAAGGCAATGGAATGGCTAACAAGAAAAAAAATATTTGGATAAAAATCCCAAAGTGTGTCTGTCCATATAAATATTAATATATGACACATACATATTGGAACTTGGTGTCAGATATGGAAAAAAATAAGTAATAAAAAAAAATAACAACACAATTAATTAATTATTTAAATTCTAGATATATAAAATGTTGGAATATGTCTTTCTTTTAGTTTATCTGCCTAATCCTGACTCATTCCAGTCATTAATAGACATTTTTTGTTTAATGGCTGATCCTGATGTTGCAAACGTCTGCAGAATTTTGCCCTTTTCTAAATTGTAGTAAAGTGAGTAACTTTAGGGAAACATTTCAGTGAAACGTTTACATAAACCCCTGATGGATATGGCTATCGTTGACTTTAGGGCTTTTAAAATGAACCAGGGTGGAATAAAGTCGCTATAAAATTGTGATTTTCTTGCAAATATGATTAATTGTGCAGCCTTAAGTGAAAAAAAAAAAAAAGCAGTTTTCCATTCGGTGAGTCTGACTCGATCCAGATTTGCTGCTGAACATCCAAAGCAATCGCCTTTCATCTAACGGTGATTTTTGGTTTAGATTCGATGCTTCCAAATAGGATTTTCATGTGGATTTGTTTGAACTTCCGATCTGGTTTAGAAACGGCTCTAAATAATTTCTTGCAAAGCGATATTAGATAGAATATTCTTTAGATCTTCAAAGAGGTTTCCTGCTTTGTTCTGAATTTTGGTTTCAAACAGAACCTTTGTACGCTTGCCAAGAGAAACTCGAGGCTGCAGTCAATCAGAGACAATCACAAGAAGTTGCGAAGGCATTTTGTAACCTTAAGTACCACTGTATGTTTGCGCCTGATCGAATAGGAGAAAACCCACTTATTCTAACATTCATTAAGTTCTTTAAGGTGGTGTATATGTACTTTAAATATTAAGATCTCCAAATAAATCTTCAGTTTATGTTCTAATTAAATGTTAATGCTAATTAGATTGTAATCCCTAACATTTTAAGTTGTTAATAGATGGTTCAGAATTGTAGCTAAGGTCACTTTTTAAGTTTATTTTGTTTGAAATAAAGCTTTTTTGAATGCAGAATCTGAATTTTCCTTTGAAAAACTTACTTTTTTTAATTGTTCACCTTTTCTGTTGGATGGTTTTCTTTCCCTTCTCTCTGCTTTTTCCTTTCTTTGGATCTTAGCCGAGTCGTTGTCTGGCCTTAAGAAATACAGACTGACCTCACACGCATTAAACTGACACGGTGATATACAGCCAGTGAAAGGAACAGGCTGAGATGAAATATGTATTAGAAAAGTGAGGGAGAAAGAGAAACAACTTGGAGATTATAAAAAGGGAAAATGGGGAGTAGGAAAATGAGCTGCTTGATGTTCTGCCGTGGAGCGAGTTTAACAAAAACAGAGAAATTAAGTAAACCCTTCAAACTATAGAGGATCTTTAGGAAGAAAATGTTAAATATATGTTTATGCTCCTGGGTCAGGTGGAGGACCTACTGGTTGCCATGGAAAAGGTGAAACAGGAACTGGAGGTGATGAAAGCCAAGCTGTCGTCGACCCAGCTCTCATTGGCTGAGAAGGAAGGCCATCTGACTGCCCTGCGAGCCGAGAGGCGGAAGCACCTGGAGGAGGTCCTTGAGATGAAGTAAGAATATTAAAAAATGCTCATCTCTCATGTTTTAGTGTTTTTCTTTACAGTAATGTATATTTCAGCTGTTCTTTAGGTGGTTTTACATGTTTTATCCATCCAACTAGGAGATAGTGAGCCAATACAGATATTTCTGCTCAAGCACACACATTCGAAACATGTACCAATAAAGGAAGTCAAAGGTTACACAAAAAATCCCATTTTTGATTTTCACCATTCTCTAATCTCTTTAGGCTTTTCTTAAGAAAAGTTCTTATTCAGGTTCATTTAGTTGCTGTGGTTTCATTTTTTTCCAATATAATAAATACTTTAGGACTTATAAAAATCATTTTAGTATTAGATGATTGTTCTCAGGATGTGGCTTCTGTTTTCATTCTTGTGTCTTTCCTTCAGGAAGTTGGCTTGCTCTGTAATGGTCATTTTAACGAGTAGAAATCCACTGCAAACAAAGATGCTATTACTTTTTAATGCCATCTTTCAGGCTTTATGGGCTGAGCATTTTGTACTGTGGTGTATTAAATTTAATAGCTATCAGCCACATAAATGCTAGGGTGTACGGTTCTCATGGGGTCAATAAATAGCCTGTTTCTCAAAGACACCAAGCTTTGGTTGGAAAAAAGCTTTGACATCACTGAGCAGAACATATAGAGATGTATGCATCTGGCGTTAAATAGTATAACAGGGTTTTGGAAGACAAAAAAACTCTACGGTGTGTCAAATGTGGGGAAAAAGCAGTGGTAACAACTTAAAGATCCATTACTCGTATTTGAAAGAAAGAAGAATAAAGTATTTAGATCAGTAATGAATCCCCTGAGTTCGGAGTTTCTATCAGTGCGGTATAGTGTGATCCCCTCCAGGATAACGGATTATCCAGCATTGATGAGTTAAGCCATGACTCGGTCAGGATGATGGAGCAGCAGTTACTAATCTTCTTCTTTGAAGAGAGTTTGAGTTGAAGATGATCCATTGTGTTGGACGTTGGTGCAGGACTGAAGGGAGTGGTGGTCTCTGGGGATTTGTTTTTAGCTGCGCTGTTAGCTCACCTCTGCAGCCCCACATTCGTAGCCTTGCACACCGCTTCTGCTTGCTCTTTCTCCGGCATGGTCTGTTCCCGGGGTCCGCTGCTCTGTTTGCATCTGCCGGAAGCACTCAAAAGCTTTTTAAGCGGTCAAGAGTGGCTGTATTTACGAGTCTAGAAAAGACACTTGATGACCGTAGCTCCAGCAGGCGCTGGCAGTGATAGCTACAGGATCGATGCATAGTTTGTAGCATTCTAGGCGTCATATTTGAAGAGCTGATGCAACCATTGCCTCTTACGGCGTCGCCATCTGAACTCTGAGTTCACTTCTATTTAAAGGGATTTAAAAAATCCCCAAAGGCACTACACTGAATTTTTAAAATCTCAATCAAAAGAACTCAACTCAGTGTTCTACTGCATTTTGCACCATATTTATTTATTTATTTTGCACTGCTCTGATCCTTCCATATCAATGCCTTTTGCACCATGTCTTTAAACTGGTTTTCCTCTCCTACACTTTTTACATTTTGATCACTGCTGCTTTTTATAAATGGAAATGTTCATTTCACTGTTGTAACCTGCTCATGCACTATTTAAAAGCTGTATGCATTTAAATTTTGTTTTGTATACACTCTGTGTATACAAAATGTTCTAATTCTTTATAAATGATTTGACTTTATAAATTCTTTATAAATAGAAATAAAGAGCACTGACACAGCCTGACTGTTACCATGTTTCTACGACGCCACCTCCTTTACCGAAGCGTCAACTTTTACCCATCATAACAACTGACCGTTTAAAGTAACTTTCTTAATTTAAGGAAAATATATTATTAATCAAACACACTTAATAAATCTGAGCTTCACTGAACATTGAGATTAGGCTTTTAACCAAGCTTAAAATTCATTAAAGCATTGTCGCTTTTTTAACTCAATAAAGTTTACAATATATTAATGTTCAAAAACAAATAAATAACATTAAACATAAATAACATAAAAACATTGTCATTAGTCCTTATTGTCTTTGTAGAAACCATACTTCTTATACTGTCTTCTTAAGCCCCTGTCACACCCTGACGATTTAGACCAGCATATGTCTGACGTACAAAAAATCTGGCAAAAACTTTGGCAAACGTTGGATAAGTTATAGGTATGTTTTTTATAAGTTATGGGTACGCTGTAGCCCACTGGAACACCTTGACATACGACGAGTACATGGGGCATAAGATATAGGTAAGTTATCTGATCATTGAAATGCGTTAAGTGTAGGTTACTCATAGGTCGTGGTGTCTAGCTTGTCTCCAATGCATATTAACATATTTGAAGTGTTCCAGAGGACCGCTGAACGTGTTTCTAACGTACAGCTACTGTATAATGGCGTATTGGCAGCGTTTTGGTATTAAAGGGGTTTCACAGGAGGAAACGGTCAATAATCCTTCAGAATTCATCCCCATCATAGGCTGACCTTGAAGGTGAGTGTGATGAATCCTCCCTGCATTCACGCCCATGGCCGCGACCAACAAACTTCCTAGCAGACATGATGCTGAATCTGCTGCAACTGCAAACCTTCTTCTATTTTCTTTATTCTTTTTTGGGGGGCAGGCGGTAAAAAGCAGCCAGGTTAATACAGCAATCAAATAAGTCTTTTCATGCAGGCTGGGCATCGCTGCTCCCCTCAGGACACTGGCTTGTGACATTTCATGGGCATTATGCTGCCATGCGTTATGCATAAGTTAGGCTGTTGTTGGACATAAGTTCTGGACTAGTTAGGAATACGCTACACATATGCCCAAAATTGAAAAAATACATAGAAAGTTCAGCATATGCCAGCATTTCAGGAGATTCAGGGATGTGGGGCATACGCTGGCTGGATCATCAAAGTGTGACAGGGCCCTTATGGTGCCACAGTTGTAAAGAAATGCATGTACACATGGAAAACTTGCCAAACGCTGACGTCATATTCCAAACAATTTATCCTGCTACCGGCTCTTGTTTGGACTGTAGAAACGAAACTCTTTGGCTATATAGCGATATATAAGCAGAGGCCACCATAGAGGAGGAATGTTACCATGACAGCAGCCGGGCATTTCCTTGCGTGCTTTCAGCGGTTTGGTCACACGCTGCTGTGGGATGAAGTCCCATTCTTCAACCAGCATTTGCCATTAGTTGTGGTTCTGTTGGTCCCTCTGTGTTCCTTCCATGGATAGTCTCAGATAAACCCCACTCTGTTGATTCGTTTTCCTTACAAATGTGGCTCCAGTTATAGGAAAACAACCAGGCTTTCCTGTGGCACAGGATTATTTGCCCACAAAGTTTTGTCACAAATAAAGATGTATTTTAGTCATTTAGATTGTTTTAATTGTTTGTAAACTGACTAAATGAAGTACAGACTTTCTTTGCAGTGTTAAGACAAATGTTGTCCTGCTGTATCATCTCTAGAATCCTCATCTGATATTAAATTCAGAATGTGTGTTTTCTTCCACATTTCTGTCCTATCTGACGCTGTGAGCAGGAGCTACAGTACAACATATCCAATCAGCCTCTTTTAAAAAAAATAATAATTTTCTGCGCTCAGCTCATTTAACTCGCCATCGTTAAGTCCTTGATCTCTTGCTATCTGCAGTAGTTTCTCCATGTAGCTTCAATGATCCAGGAAGATGGTGATTGGACCCAATGACACGATCCTCACCAGACACCTCATTAACTCTCCTCTCATTTCTTCTCCTCTCTTCATCGTCCTTCTCCTTCACTCTGCACTTTAAAGCCGCTGAGATGATGCTAATGCAGCGACCGTGTCCCACTGTCCGACTCTTCGCATGATTGATTACATATGCAGACACCAGGCTGTGCGCCCGTGTTCTTTTTAATGTTGTTTTAATAGATGGGTTTGTGTTTTAAGTGCTGCTGAGATGAGTCCAGCAGTCATGTATTTTCTTCAAATTTACATCCTCTCCGAGCCTCACTGACATCTGATTTAGTGGAACAACACTTTGGGATGAAATTGAAGCCATGGAGAATATCCATGTTAGGCATGTCCTTCCTCTTAAAGCGGGCTATGAGACAATGTTTTATTATGACCAAATGGGAAATAAACCCTGTGATTTTACTCCCCTGCACTGTGACCTCAACGTTTTCCTTTAGGATTGTATTTCTTTGTTTTTGTGTGAAAGTGTTACAGGTTGATTACGATGTTTATCTGATTTGATTTTATTATGATTTTATTTTCCGTCTCTGGTTCCCTCCAAGTGGACGAGGTTAGGTTTTTTTTTCCTGCAGTGGGTCAAAACTCAAATATTTCACTCTAAACTCTCATATTGTCTCATTTGCCTTTAAATATTTATGCTCCTGCAGAAGAAGTTGGAAAAAGAATCAATACTCGGATACTTAACACCCTCTGCCTCCTTGTTTTCCTTTAACAGTAGCCTAGTCCTGATAAAGTAAGGGTAACTCAAAAGGATTTATCTTTTTAGCTTTATTAGCTTTCTGCAAGTTCTTATCAGCCTTTCCTTTTAATAGTTTTGGAGGACAAGATGCCAGAATGAAATGATTCACCCACGCTGCCTTCAGAGGCGTTTAACACTGTAGCATACATCATTTAATCAACACAGCAGAGCCCCTGAACTGCACATGTGCACAGCTGCTACAGACTAACGTAAGTGCATCTCAAACAGCAGTGACCCATTAATAACGTTACATAATCTCATTCTTTGCTATGCAGGCTGTTCGTTCACCTTGAGATCCTGTAGCATTTAAACTAGAACTGAACCCGTCGAGGCTTCCTTTACTTATTGATCATTTTCCGTAAACTCATGGAGCATTGAAATGTTCTCATAATGTCCAGACAATTTATGTACATTTAACAAAAAAATGAAACTGCTGCTTTAAAAGATAAATTAAACCTTTTGTAAAATCTTAATACGCCATGCTCATAAATACAGAGCGTGCTGCATGTGTAATAAGGGACTTTATTGGTAGAAATT